TAATATGAGGAATCACGCAAGCTGGGTGAAGCATGTGAGATTAAGTCACGGAGTGGAGAACAAGTTGGGGCATGTGGATGAACTTGGAACAAAAGGATAAGTTAGATAAAATAGTCAGCAGTGGAAAATGGATAGAACGAGATGGGACAACACGATTCGGAAGATTTACGAAACCCCAAAAGCTATAATGTTAAGAGAAAGGTTGAGTGAGGTTTTATATAGACGCACGTGAAGGTTGAAGCTTTGAACTGGTTGAGCGAGAAATGTATAGTTTGAACACGAACCAACACCAACATTAAAAAAAAAATCGACACCGCTGGATTTTTAAAGAGGAGAAAATATAATGCGGAAAAAATTATAATAGAGATAACGCTAACAAGAGAATATAATGATATTGAGAAAAATACTTATTGGCAGTTTTTTCTTTATTGCTGTTATTTAATTGTTACCGAGATTATAATCGGCCTAGACCTTGATTATTACTTTTACTCTGATCATCATTACTACTTTGCTTTACAATTTTTTTATTTGCATTCTTACAAGATTTTTATCATTCTTCTCCAGTCTTATAATTTGCTCTCGTTCTTGTCAGGATTTTCAGCCGTTCTATTTTTTAACGCTCTTCTCTCTGTTAGTCTTCTTCGTTTATTAACCACCTTCGTTATTCTTTTTCGTAACATATTATTTTTCTTTATTGTTAGTTCTATTTATTCTTCGTTGTTAATTTATTTATTATTTTTGTGTTTGTTTTTATTCTTATTCTTGTAATTTCTTCTAATTCTTGTTGTTTAAGATTCGCTACCTGGAACAAAAAGTTCTAAGTAGCACGGGCTATGGTGAGCCCGTAGTTTCTACTGTTGTTAGCAAGAGCGCAGTAGGGGACCGTCAACATTGCTTGCAAGGTTGCAAACCTGTTATACATTACTGTCCTATTTCCGCTGTATGTTCCCTTCGTCTCAACTTCCTATCCATTAGAATTGCCTTTGTACCTATAGTCACGTTGCCACGCATAAGGCCGCACGCGCAAGCCATTGCTCACACACGAGTCAAGTTGTAGATTGGCGGTTGAAAGGCGGGACCAAAGAGCCAAAGCTCAACCCCCTCAAGCATAACTAGGTGAGTACAGCTAGGTGAATACACACAATTCATATATATACACAATTCATATATACACACAATTCATATATACACACAATTCATATATACACACAATTCATATATACACAATTCATATATACACACAATTCATATATACACACAATTCATATATACACACAATTCATATATACACAATTCATATATACACACAATTCATATATACACACAATTCATATATACACAATTCATATATACACACAATTCATATATATACACAATATATGTATATACACACAATATATGTATTTCCCGCACGTATTCAAAACATGCTTACAAGGTACCATCTGAGAGAGGAAAAAACTGCAGGAGTCTGAGGAAAATGACCCAGAAAAATCTCTCTCGGGGCTTACATAAGCGAGGGAACAGCAGCGACTGGAGAGTTGATATAAATTCCACCAAGCTTCTTACACACGGGAAAGCTTTAAGGACACATGATCACGATGTGGGAATTATTACCGAAAAGGCTGACCTGAACTTTGACATGGGAAAGGCCGGGATACACTCAAACTAAATACCAGAATGATAGAAGAAGATATTGCAAAGAATTCCATCATAAGAGAAGTGAATTGAAATGTAATCTGGAGTGAGGTTGTTCAAGGCTGTTAACTGAGTGGTTCAACATACTTTTGAGTCTGCACACAAATAATGAAACTAACCCGACGCACACGGAACCTGGAATATATATTCACATAAAATATGCAGTGATTCAAGATTATTTAGTAAACAAAACCTGCACTACATCATACGGTTTCGGCACCGGCTTGGCCGGGAGGTGCAGGAAGTTTGTGGGTCTTCGTGGGCTCCTGATGTGTGCCCTCAGGGCATGGTGGGCTCGTGGTGTGCCCTCAGGGCATGGTGGGCTCGTGGTGTGCCCTCAGGGCATGGTGGGCTCGTGGTGTGCCCTCAGGGCATGGTGGGCTCGTGGTGTGCCCTCAGGGCATGGTGGGCTCGTGGTGTGCCCTCAGGGCATGGTGGGCTCCTGATGTGCCCTCAGGGTATGGTGGGCTCGTGGTGTGCCCTCAGGGCATGGTGGGCTCGTGGTGTGCCCTCAGGGCATGGTGGGCTCGTGGTGTGCCCTCAGGGCATGGTGGGCTCGTGGTGTGCCCTCAGGGCATGGTGGGCTCGTGGTGTGCCCTCAGGGCATGGTGGGCTCGTGGTGTGCCCTCAGGGCATGGTGGGCTCGTGGTGTGCCCTCAGGGCATGGTGGGCTCGTGGTGTGCCCTCAGGGCATGGTGGGCTCGTGGTGTGCCCTCAGGGCATGGTGGGCTCGTGGTGTGCCCTCAGGGCATGGTGGGCTCGTGGTGTGCCCTCAGGGCATGGTGGGCTCGTGGTGTGCCCTCAGGGCATGGTGGGCTCGTGGTGTGCCCTCAGGGCATGGTGGGCTCGTGGTGTGCCCTCAGAAGTTGTCGGCGGCTGGCTTCTGCTCTGTCGGAGGGCACTGGGTGATATTTTGCGTCATAGATGGTTGCTGACTTTTTTTACTTTTGCTGCCCAGTGCTGGCAGTGTGAGGCGGGGCCGGTGCTTGTCACCCTGAGGGACTCCTCGGGTCTCCCCAATCATCTGCCCATCCGTGTGCTTATTCCCCGTAAGGCCCATTAGTTTCCACTGTCGGGCGGCATTCATTTTGCCATTATGGCTTCGCGAATAACTCTACACGCGTAGGCCGGGGCGCTGCCGATCCCACGATCGTCGCTGCTCCCTAATTCAACATCATCATCACATATTATCCCAACGAGCATTTTAAGTCATGAAGGATCATTAAGATACAATAAGGATTTCGGTGGTGCTTAAAACGAATCTTTAGGTTAAACTTCATGAAAGTAGTGTGTAGATGGCAGTGTGTGGCAAGCTCACACTAGACGTGTGCGTCTGTGTGTATAGCTAACACTATATCAAGCTAGTTAAGGGCTCCAGCAGCAGCAGCAGGAGGAGCAACACTTGGCAAGTGGTCCGAGGCGTTGTTCTCCAGGGGTGGGTAGAAGCGACAGGTTCTGCGTGCTAGAGGGTGGCGCCCCACGAGAATATTTAGGAGAAATGAAGCCAAGAAAGGCCAGTTGATCCCATCCACCTGCTGCTTTGTTCCGCCAGGACTTTGCGTTATTACAAATTAGTATCCTACAGTTCCTATTTTTTTTGTGTTTCTATTTATTCTTGTGTGTTTCTTCCTAACTCTTATTTTTATATATATTGGTGTGACGAGGGTAATAATCAGGATAATGCGTTTACCCATTACGACTATTAGACAACTTGGAAGGGAGAAGGATTAGGATTTGGGGTAGGACGGAGGGAAGGAATAGTGCCCAACGACATGGACAGTCGGGAATTGATCGCCGACCTGCACGAGGCAAGACCGTCGCTCTACCGTCTAGTCCAGTGATGAAGTTTCCGTTTTATATTTTCGTTGAGTTTCTACGGTATTAAACAAATTCAGACTTGGAATGAATGTTTATATGGCTAACATATAAACAAACATTCTCCACTGATAACTCCAAAATGTGTAGTTTCATAGATACATTTTGGCAGAAGAGATATTTCGACCTTAAGTTTGAAAGCTTAGTTTCTTCTGGGGCTCTTAACGCAGAGACTCGATTTAGCATAATGGTGAATGTCTCAGACACACTGAACCATTGTTCAGAGGCACAACCCACTCTGTGTTACGAATGTTGAACACGAGAGAAGCTAAGCAGAAGAACTGGGCTCTGTTTATGTCTATGTATTCGAGCATGTGCGCGCGTGTGTGTGTGTGTGGGGCAGGAAACAAAGCATGTATGAGAGTAAGTAGTGTGAAGGATTTGATACTAATTTACTAGTACGGCAGTTTTCTCTGATTGGAAGGAAATCCTCTATTAGTGAATGAGAACAAGAACTAACCAGGAGAACCGGGTAGAAGAGAGCTAAGAAAGTATTTTAATATAAGGTACAGGAGAAGTTGAGAGTACAAGAAGCCATGTAGCCAGTGCAATCAAAACGCGTCTCAAGAGTCTGGAAGCAGGAATGAGAGTTGCCTTGAGAACACGTAGCGGAAGTGCTCATCCCAGTCTTCAGATGTCAGTGTGAAAAACGAACACTTGAAGCAGAAATGTGCAATAGAAGTTGCAACAGTGGTATTACGATAGTTACACTACGGAATGAAGATATCTTAGAGATAGAGAGAAGGATTCATTAGATGTTGAAATAGAGATAGTTGGTCACGCTAATCAAATAGATGATGATAGAGTGGCTGTGAGAAACGATAGAAATACACGCCACGTCATACAAATTATCAACCACACTACCATGGATAGAAACAGGATAGAACTTCTATCTCCCACTCCTGGGGGTCGGGGGTTAGAGTCTCATAGTGCCTAGGCGAACAAAGTGTTTATATCCATAGTAGTGTAGTTGACAATACAAATATATATATATAAAACTAACGAACCGTTGTCAATTATTGACGGTGTCTGGAGAATCAGGACTGTACTGAATGCGTAACCTACACACTTGAGAGGTCAGTATATAAGCTCTGTGTAGTCGTGCTGGTATTGAGCAAGAGGTGGCCGAGTGCACACCCACACCATAAATCCTGGGTCTTTGTTGCCGCTCAGGCGAGAGAGGCACCTGTGAGCTCTTGTGTGTGTGCTGCGTTTGACAGTTATGACGACTATACCACAAAGGAGCCTGAGCACAAGTGCCATTCGAATCGGCAAATATTCTGGCGATGGAGATGTAAACACCGATGGGACTTGTTCAGACAAAGGGGAAATGCCTTCGGTGTTAACAGGGCGTAAGACAAAAATTCAAGCCGTTGGTTAGGTGGCAACATATCTTGGCGCTGTTAGAGTCAGGGTACTGCATGTTAGCTATGACAGTGCTGCCGCCCCTGCACCTGCCGCCGCCGCCGCCGCTCCTGCCGCCGCCGCTCCTGCCGCCGCCGCTCCTGCCGCCGCCGCTCCTGCCGCCGCCGCTCCTGCCACCGCCCCTGCCACCGCCTCTGCCACAGGCGCCGCCTCTGCCACCGGCGCCGCCCCTGCCACCGGCGCCGCCCCTGCCACAGTTACTATTGTCGTCACTGCTGTCGCCGCAGGGATATTATAGTGCGCGTGTGTGTGTGTGTGTGTGTGTGGGAACTGAAGATAAAGGATGTAAACAAAATTGTTGAACAGTATGGGAAGCTGACGTTGAAGGGTGTGGGAAAGCAGATGAGAGGTCGTGGGCGAGAATGGGAGGTCGTGGGCGAGAATGGGAGGTCGTGGGCGAGAATGGGAGGTCGTGGGCGGGACACACACTCCTGGGCACCACCGGTTACCCCCACCTAGTAAGTCTATGTGGATTACTTTAAACAGTCTATCCATCAAACGTCTAATAGGAAACTCGGGTAATTTGTGTCATAAATCAACAATCCTGTTTCCTCACCCTGAGGAGTCGAGACCTCCTAGTTCAGGGGCCCACATGGTCCCTACAGACGTAGGGACCATGAGGGTACTAGTTATGACACGGTCCCCTACTCCTGGTACAAGCACTGACACGGTCCCCTACTCCTGGTACAAGCACTGACACGGTCCCCTACTCCTGGTACAAGCACTGACACGGTCCCCTACTCCTAGTACAAGCACTGACACGGTCCCCTACTACTGGTACAAGCACTGACACGGTCCCCTACTCCTGGTACAAGCACTGACACGGTCCCCTACTACTGGTACAAGCACTGACACGGTCCCCTACTCCTGGTACAAGCACTGACACGGTCCCCTACTCCTGGTACAAGCACTGACACGGTCCCCTACTCCTGGTACAAGCACTGACACGGTCCCCTACTCCTGGTACAAGCACTGACACGGTCCCCTACTCCTGGTACAAGCACTGACACGGTCCCCTACTCCTGGTACAAGCACTGACACGGTCCCCTACTCCTGGTACAAGCACTGACACGGTCCCCTACTCCTGGTACAAGCACTGACACGGTCCCCTACTCCTGGTACAAGCACTGACACGGTCCCCTACTCCTGGTACAAGCACTGACACGGTCCCCTACTCCTGGTACAAGCACTGACACGGTCCCCTACTCCTGGTACAAGCACTGACACGGTCCCCTACTCCTGGTACAAGGAATATCTATAAAGTTCTTTACAATATCCATCTGCTATATCAGTGTCTTCATGAACGACCTTGACGGGACCCAGCACAACAATGACCGGACTCAACACATGTTTGACTGGACCTGAGAATGGCCTTGACTGGACGAGGCAAGACCTAGACTGCATGGACCCCAGTACACTTTAACTGGACCTAACACGATCTTGATATGGGACCCAGCACAACGCCGAAGTGGACTCGACACTATTTTGACTGGACGCAGAACGGACGTTACCGAACTCGCTATTCGACTTCAATCGAACGCATCAATTCATCTCTCAGCATACATCTCCCTATGTCTATGACCGCCATTCATCACAGCATCAACGCGTGGCCAAGGCCAAACACCTCCTCCACCTGTACAAAATCGCCAGACGGGTATAAACCCCCGAAAGTGCCTATAATCTTCAGTCTTTTTTTCCCCTCCTACTCCCTGACGACCCAGGAACCATTCCTTCGCGTCGCTTACCTCCTCTTTTTAGTCTTTTATCATTCTGCTCAGTTACCTGATACATAAATACCGAGGCGCAGAGTATGCTACAAGGTGCGGAGGTATGATGTAAGTTGGGGAGTGGGGGAATATATGTCCAAGTTTGGTATCTTGGATGCTGGATAGCAAGTCATCAGTCCATATAAGTCAGAGGTATTAATAGAGCCGTGGCGTGGAGGGTCACTCGTCAACTGCTCTATTATGTTCACAGATGGCGTTCAGCAACCTTGGTAAAAACAACATTTTTGTTTTCTTACGTTTTTATTTGCTGTTTTTTCTTGTAATAAGATTAGCATTTTCTGTATTATGTTCGTGACCTTCAAGGGCCTTTTGTTCTGATAATTTCGGGTTTACTTTGTAGTATTGTTCCTTTGTTCTAGCAGTTTCGTGCTTTTGTTGGTCTAATGTTCCTCCTCTTTATTTTCCAACAACTTACTGTAAGAATTGGGCAGAAGACCATACACTATATATATCTATATATAATATATATATATATATATATATATATATATATATATATATATATATATATATATATATATATATATTATATATATATATATATATATATATATATATATATATATATATATATATATATATATATATATATATAATGTGTGTGTGTGTATTCCTAACAGGGCATAAGTACATACATTAGTCAGGTGTGACAGGAAGACAGCTTCACATGACACACACACACCTTAAGGTTCTCTCCCAGACTCCTCCTCCGCCCCGGTCTCTCTTACCCCAGAGATATTGTTTAATCATCATGAATCCTTCAAGATCAGCTAGTCTGGTTTCCAGAGTAAAAGCTGAAAATTATCCAGCTTTAAGGAACTGCAGCAAGATTATTTTTTTTGTTCACAAGTGGATCCGAGAACAGACGAGTTCTGGCTCCTGGTATCAGACTTAGGTCTTTCCCCTTCCCATATTTCATGGTAAGCCTTATACCTGGAAATTTTTTGCTGCAACATGATCATTCTATCGGTTTACAAACACCCCATTACTGCTGGGTGAACACAGGCGAGCAGACGAGGATTGGCGTTTTGTCAATCCTCTCTGCCAAGGACTCGAACCCAAACTAAATCGTTCCGGAGCCCGCAGCGAATTGAGTGACTCCTGAGGCATCTTCAGGACCAAGTTTGACAGAGTACCTACACATCTACTGTAGGAATCTCTGCCTTTAACTTCGGTCATGAAGGCTTAGCAAGTGTCCCCGTTTGTTGTGAAAGCGAAATGCCCTTTGAAACCTCTGAAGCTGTTGGAGAAAAGTCTGTTTTATGCTTCTACGGGCAAATTGTGAATATCAGGATATTGCTTAATTTTTCTGACATGAGGAAATAATGGTATGTATGCTACTAGATTAAAAAAATGTTTTGAACGCTTTATTTTCAAAATATTTAGCCGTGTAGCTTGCGGGTAGTGCCAAAAATTGTCGTGGGGGGGTGGGAATATACAGTATTATATATATATATATATATATATATATATATATATATATATATATATATATATATATATAATATATATATATATATATATATATATATATATATATATATATAGTCGAATATGAAAGAAAGGGTAAGATTAATAATTCTAACACGAATCTTCTCAATATTTCTTAAGTTTTTCTTCACTGTCGTAATTGAAAAATTTACTCGCCAAAGTTCATTTTTGCATTTTTATTTATGGTCTGACGCTTAGAAGCGTTTCGCAAGACGTCTCACATTTTCAAAGACTAATTTTTATGTACTCCATATGCTTCTTGTACTAACATATACTCCATATATGTTTTTGGGTGAGGTGACAGGGAAAGAAATCAATGGGAAAAGACAAAACACTAAACAATGGGTAAGTTTTCCATTGAACTTTCCCCCCCCCTCTCTCTCTCTCTCTCTCTCTCTCTCTCTCTCTCTCTCTCTCTCTCTCTCTCTCTCTCTCTCTCTCTCTCTCTCTCTCTCTCTGGGAATCGACCTTCGGTCCATGGACTGCGAATCTTGAACTCTGTCGCTCGACCGTGAATGTGTGTGTGTTCCTACATACATATATCTCTCTGCAGATATATAAAATATAAAATGCAGAGTATTTAACGGTGTAGAAACTGTAATTTGAGATTAGGTATAGCCAGCCGTGAAGCGTTTCCGACCTTTGCTCTTCTCATTAGTCAATCGCTTATGACTCTGATAGCAATCTTGAGTGTTGCACGAGGCGGCTCTGCCACATGCAACCTCCTGCATAACTTCGTATTAAAATATAACTCTGATCTAATGCGTTAACAGAGAGATCTTATTTGCATATGGGCATATTCGAATAATAATAGTTTGCAGGATTAGCTAAGAGTTAATCTGAGTATATATTATCAGGGGATTTTGTATGTTTTGTATGGTAATTGAGGCAGTATGGCAGTTATTGTACAGTGTTATTGTTGACCAGACCACACACTAGAAGGTGAAGGGACGACGACGTTTCGACTTGAGAATGGTCCAGGACGGACCGAAACGTCGTCGTCCCTTCACCTTCTAGTGTGTGGTCTGGTCAACATACTTTAGCCACGTTATTGTGACTCATCGCCTGCTGTTATTGTCCTTTTATGTATCAGCTTTTTAGGGTCTATTGCCAAGGTACCAGGAATGTATTTTATCCTGATCCAAGAGGAGAACATTGTAGAGAATCTGATCCATCAAGAGTACTGTTGAGAACACCGACCAGTGAAGAACAGTGCTTCACGGAGAGAACACAACGAAGAACACTGTGAAGAATACAAGCTGATCCACGTTGAACTTACATTGAGTTGTAGTGATATATTGGCCGAGAAGAGGCTTAGACTTAGTGTGAAAAAAACACACACGGAAATTGTGTGCAAATTTGTCAGCCGAGGCCACCAGGAAGTCAGCAGGATGCAGGGAGCACCGCTCCTGTGTCAGGTAAGTCCACTACGGGCTCACCATAGCCCGTGCTACTTGCCCCGCTCCTGTGTCAGGTAAGTCCACTACGGGCTCACCATAGCCCGTGCTACTTGCCCCGCTCCTGTGCCAGGTAAATCTACTACAGGCTCACCATAGCCCGTGCTACTTGCCCCGCTCCTGTGCCAGGTACGTTACGGCTTACCATAGCCCATGCTACCTGCCCCGCTCCTGTGCCAGGTACGTTACGGCTTACCATAGCCCATGCTACCTGCCCCGCTCCTGTGCCAGGTACGTTACGGCTCACCATAGCCCATGCTACCTGCCCCGCTCCTGTGCCAGGTAAGTCCACTACGGGCTCACCATAGCCCGTGCTACTTGCCCCGCTCCTGTGCCAGGTAAGTTACGGGCTCACCATAGCCCGTGCTACTTGGAACTTGTTCCGAGTAGCTGAATCTATAACAACAACAACCGGATGAGACTATGAACAGTCTGCATTAAGGTAGCCTTCCTGATTCAGTTATATATATGGTAATTTTATCTTTGAGATTTTGATGACTGTGGTGTGTGATTAATCATCAAGGTAACTGTTACTAAGCTTGATAAGCTTATCATTACTACTCCTTTGGTGTCCTTGGGAAGAAGCAGGGGCCAGATTGACGAAACAGTTACGGAAGCACTTACGAACCTGTACATCTTTTCTCAATCTTTTGCAGCTATGTTTACAATAACTAAACAGTTAATGAGCTTCGAAGCCCCAGGAGGCTGTTTATGACAATAACAACAGTTTATTGGGAAGTTTTCATGCTTGTAAACTGTTTAATAAATTTAACCAAAGCCGTCAAAGATTGAGGAAAGATGTACACGTTCGTAAGTACTTGCGTAACTGCTTCGTGAATCTGGTCCCAGATCTAGAGTGAAGGTTCTAGCGCTCTTGCTAGCCCAAGCAAGTCGCCAATATCAATATGGCAAAGATAATTTGTGGGAGCAGGAGACTAAGAGGGTGACGCTGATAACTTCAGGGACCGGCTCTGCAAAGCCAACATTGAATTAAAATTGAAATTTTTCTGAAATTTCCAGGCTGAAAAGTCTCCCTCAGCCTGACTGTAGCGGCACATGATCACCAAATTCAAGATTCTCAGAGGAATTGATAGAGTAGATAAATACATTAAACACGGGTGGTACACGCATAAAGGGGAACGCAGGTGGAAACTGAGTGTCAAATGGATCGTAGATACGTTAGTAAGATCTTTTTTCAGTGTCATAGTAATGGAATGGACTGCACCAGGCAGTGATGTGGTGGAGGCAGACTCCATACACAGTTTCAACTGTAGATATAATAGCCTAATAGGCTCGGGAACCTGTACACCAGTTGGTTGACAGTTGTGAGGGCGGGACCAATGAGTCAAAGCTCAACATCCGCAAGCACAACTAGGTGAGTGCCAGTTGGTTAATAGTGGGGAGGCGGGACCAAAGAGCCAAAGCTTAACCCTTGCAAGGAAAATAATTTGGTAAATACAATTTGGTGAATACACACACACACACACACACACACACACACACACACACACACACACACACACACACACACACACACACACACACACACACAATTCATTGACGGTTTAGTCAATCTGTAGAATCTGTACATAAGTTGATTGACGGTTGAGAGGCGGGACCAAAGAGCCAGAGCTCAACCCCCGCAAGCACAAGGTGAGTACAAATAGCTAGGTACGAGTACTCAAACAATAATATTTCACTGCAGATGGTGTTCTCTACTACTCCCAATCACGTCATGATAGACTTGTTAGATGATAGAGGATAAGAAAACAAATATATTGTTTACATTTGTAATGGACATTTAAATATTCCTACGCACATACACAAGGAGTTTAGTCATTCACAAACCGAGAATAATTCTTTATCAAAGCTTTAACATTTCATATTTGTTGTCATTGTTGTTAAAATATGTTGATTATTGATCCCGTTGTTGATAAAACAATGAAGAAAGTTGTTTCATAACTTTGGCTTCACATTTTCATTACAGTATTTTGTAAGGGGGGGAACTTGTCGTTAGAAATCACCCTCTTTTCTTTTAGTGATATAGAGCGGACGACAATATTTCACGCGCAGAGCTAATTGTCCATTTCTTTGCAGGTGAGCATCTGCACAGATGTTGACGGTGAGATCTTGTCAAGGATGCTGGCAAGACTCAGGTAAGTATCATCTTCCTTCGTCTCTCTCTCGCTCTCTTGCTCTCGCTATCTTGCTCTCGCTCTCTTGCCCTCGCTCTCTTGCCCTCGCTCTCTTGCCCTCGCTCTCTTGCTCTCTTGCTCTCTCTCTCTCTCTCTCTCTCTTGCTCTCTCTCTCTCTCTTGCTCTCTCTCTCTCTCTCTGCTCTCTCTCTCTTGCTCTCTCTCTCTCTCTATCTCTCTCTCTCTCTATCTCTCTCTCGCTCTCTCTCTCTCGCGCTCTCTCTCTCGCGCTCTCTCTCTCTCGCTCTCTCTCTCTCGCGCTCTCTCTCTCGCGCTCTCTCTCTCGCAATCTCTCTCTCGCGCTCTCTCTCTCGCGCTCTCTCTCTCGCGCTCTCTCTCTCGCGCTCTCTCTCTCTCGCGCTCTCTCGCGCTCTCTCTCTCGCGCTCTCTCTCTCGCGCTCTCTCTCTCGCGCTCTCTCTCTCTCGCGCTCTCTCTCTCTCGCGCTCTCTCTGTGGGAACCGACCTGTGAGATTTATATTTGTTTAATTTATATGAATTTATAATTACGTTAATTTATATACTTCGATAGCAATTTGTATAATGATAAGTGGACTGTATTTCTGCAATAATCTCATAATCTCACAAATCGATCCTCTACACATTAGGGGGGTTATTAAATTAATATATATATGCAGCCAATCAAACTACAGTATCTACATACATTGAAGAGGTTCCTTATCTTATAGTACAGCAGGCTAGTCCACCAGGTATAACTAGGGTGTAGACACCAAATTATCCTCTTTGAGGTAGCTTCCATATCACCCAGTAACTGGTGCACAAAATCTTCCTCGTCTTGACCTGTCAAAAGTGCGCTAGCTGTGAAGCCAGAATCCTATATATGACAAGTATTTCAGAGAAAACTGTACATGGAACATGAAGACCTGGCTTAATTACCTTTAGTTTGAGGCTTCCACGTGATCTAACCGGATCACCCTATATCCTGACATTAATGGCCATAAATGAATGATAAACGGGTTTCGGAAAGAACACTTAACTTGAATTGTAGACATCGTGTTGGAGATGGTACCTTTGGTTTCCATAACACTACGTCCAAGTAAAATTAACAGGAGCCGAATTTGCTCCCGTGTGAGCCTCTGGTCTCGTTATAAACAATGGCTGTTTAACACTCCATACTATTAACGTTACTGGCCGACATTGTCCAGAATGATAGGAGCCGAATTTGCTCCACACGTCTCGGAGGTGACACAACAATGGCTGCCCCCCTTCCCCACTCTGACGCCTGGCTTACATTGTCCAGATGTCAGAATGTGATAGAAGGGTCACATTTACTCTACTTTAATATTGATAATTAAGTTAATTTATATAAGATGTTTTTATGATGGTAAAGTCCAAAGACTAATGTATTTAAGAATAATTCCCACCATAATAGGTAGTGAATTATAATAGTATGTGGTGATGATATCCCGTTTTCTTTAGATGGTAATTCCACTACAAGTTACGTTTTCTATGGGTAACTTGTTGGTAATACAGTTATTATCTGTATGATTATTAAATGGTGTCGGATTTTCCGACACTCTCTCTCGCCCTCTCTCTCTCGCCCTCTCTCTCTCGCCCTCTCTCGCGCTCTCTCTCTCTCGCGCTCTCTCTCTCTCGCCCTCTCTCTCTCGCTCCTCTCTCTCTCGCGCTCTCTCTCTCGCGCTCTCTCTCTCGCGCTCTCTCTCTCGCGCTCTCTCTCTCGCGCTCTCTCTCTCGCGCTCTCTCTCTCTCGCTCTCTCTCTCTCGCGCTCTCTCTCTCGCGCTCTCTCTCTCGCGCTCTCTCTCTCGCGCTCTCTCTCTCGCGCTCTCTCTCTCGCGCTCTCTCTCTCTCTCTCTCTCTCTCTCTCTCTCTCTCTCTCGCTCTCTCTCTCTCTCTCTCTCTCTCTCTCTCTCTCTCTCTCTCTCTCTCTCTCTCTCTCTCTCTCTCTCTCTCTCTCTCTCTCTCTCTCTCTCTCTCTCTCTCTCCTCTCTCTCTCTCCCTCTCTCTCTCTCCCTCTCTCTCTCCCTCTCTCTCTCCCTCTCTCTCTGCTTCACAATGAGTGCTAATGTGAGGAATGTACAGGCATGTGTATGGAAATCAGTGGCTATTATAATGTTTCGAATCACAAAGTATAATGTGTAGAAGGAAACCGAGCTTTGCGAAAACCTGAGGCATTGAATAAGAACTCTGTACACTCTGATTACTTAATCATCCCGCTTTACGTGTTCATGTCAGTGGGGCGTGAAACAGTGTTAATCGTTGGGGTGAGAGAGAGAGGTTAGTGTGAAGTAATGTTAGCTGATGGGGTCAGAGAGCGAGAGATTAGCTTGAAACTGTTATCAGAGAACACCCCGTTTTCCTGTTTTGTCACAAATATGAAAAATGCAAAGCGATAACTCAACTAGACACGTATGAGCCTAAAGCAATTCGGCAAACCTAACCCTCCGATGCTTACAAAAAACGTGGATATCTATGAGTTTCAGCTTTTAATAGCGCTTTGTATTTTGAATGTTGGGGACAATAACTTTTAAAATTAGATGTGTTAGTTGAGAGGATAGACTACACACGTGCAGTCTAGAGTGAAATGATGTTGTTTGGTGTGATCAGAGAGAGAGTGAGTTAGTGTGAAGGAACATTGTCTGGTGCGGGTCCATAGCGAGAGACTATCGTTAAGCAACAGAACACTTGGGTCCAGGCAAAGTTGCCATCAAGTTGCATCTCCGGTAAGGTGGTGATGCTCACGCCCGTTATCGTGAGGGGATCAGACAAGGGGGACATCATAACCTGTTTTTTTATTGGATGTGAAGTTTATTTACTTATGTTATCGTGGAAGTGCCACACAGCCTCGGCAGTGGAGCGTGTGTTTCAGTGTGGAAGCACTACTCGAGCTGTGGAGTCTATGTACTAGTGCGGAGGGAAGTACTAATCAAGCAGTGGAAATGGTAGCTCAAGAGAAGAACTGTCAAATTAATATTCACCGGATGCGATGTGTGTGTCGCTGCACTTATTAGGCAACGCTGTCCTTACGGATGCTCAAATAACCTTTCTAGCTTCGTAGAGATTTTTATGACTATTTCATTACAAATTAATTTAATATCGTTGAAATCTAGTTGCACATAGTCTTTATTGCAGTTTCTACTTATGGAAATAATCTTGGAATAATTACACGAATTACTCCAAGATTACATGTATTACTCCAAGATTGCATTAATCTTGGAGTAATATATGTAATATCAAGTGATGTTTGGAAATTATTTACTGCCATGAATAACGCAAAAGTTTTCAGGCTGATCAGTTAAAAATCTGAACAAGGTTGGTTAAACAGGCTAGACAGACCAGTTGGGACAAAGGCATAAATGACATTAATTGTACTTGTTTTATAGAACGCAATTTAATGGGCGCTGGAAACTCGTTTGGAGAAAAATGTCTTATTATTACAGCTTGCCTTATCGCTACTTCTAGAGGAAGTGAGCGCAGGTAATTAGGGGTACATTACATACTCTGGGGTTACTTTGCCATGCCTTCAGGTGATACGTTTGCCCAGTAAACAGGTAACTATAAATTTCGAGCTGAATTTTTTTAAATTGGTCTCAACAACTGCCTCTTCAAGTAGGAGGCAAGTTTCTATTGTTTTATATAGATTTCGATACGAATAAATGGACCAAAAAATGCAGCGAATTAACATTTTTATACAATTTTATTTATCGATATCTATTGTTCAGGTGCTTTGTAACCATAAGAAAGTTCATAGGTCAGTCTGGGTCGTCTCCAATGCCACAGTTTATGAAATATCTGCCTTTTTCCCCACCCTCCACCGGTGCAATTTTCAAGGTTTAAGTCTGCAATATGGCTGTGTTGTCCGTAGACTTATTTCATATCCTCTACAAGTCCTTTTTCTGAAAGTGGGGAAGAGAGGAAGGTGTGTTGAGTAGGGTGGGGATGTTTGAAGAGTGGGAAGGGCAGAGTTGTTGTTATAGATTCAGCTACTCGGAACAAGTTCCAAGTAGCACGGTCTATGGTGAGCCTGTAACTTACCTGGCACAGGAGCGGGGCAAGAAGCACGGGCTATGGTTAGCCTCGTGGACGGGAGATGTCTCCCGTCTGGAAGGGCAGAGAGAGAGAGAGGGGGGTAGAAGTAGAGAGATGATGATGGAGAGAGAGATGTTGGGGAAACAGAGAAAGAGAGGGGGATAGGAGGGAGATTGGGAGAGAGGGGGGGGGGGGGGGAGAGGGCCTCCCTGGCAGGCTGGTCCCGGCCGACTTTGTTAAAACAATTAACGAAGCAACATCGGGCTCACCATAGCCCGTGCTGCTTGGAACATTTAGTTCCAGGTAGCGAATCTTAAACAACAACCTCTAACACATCGTAATGGTTAAGCAAACTGTTCCTTACCCCCCCCCCTCCTTCAATCAAAATGCAGAATTTACAGTGAGCAGATATTCATGTTGACCAGACCACACACTAGAAAGTGAAGGGACGACGCCGTTTCGGTCCGTCCTGGACCATTCTCAGAATCGACTTGAGAATGGACCAGGACGGACCGAAACGTCGTCGTCCCTTCACTTTCTAGTGTGTGGTTTGGTCAACATTCTTCAGCCACGTTATTGTGACTCCTCGTCTGCAGCTGATATTCATCGTGCCCTGCGAGGTTGTGCACTGGTAGCTCGTCCACCTCAAGGGATTTCGGCTTGTTTCGCCCCTTGGGCCGGAAGTGTTGACTGGGCCCCATTCCTTAACTCTTAACCCCCCTGTTCAGCCAGCAGTAATTGGCGCCATTGGTTGTAAACAGATTGTCAGGTCATATTCCAGGGGAAACTAATAAGGTATGGCTAGCTTAGAGTACACATTTTGATTACGGGTTGATGCCCGAAACGCTTTGCGTAATAGTGGCTTTAGGCATTGTATGTACTAGCCCTAACTATAAATCCATCACTCTTTGTAAAATCTCTCTTATGTACCTTACCTAAATAAACATTTTGATTTTTTTTATTTTGATTTTGATTAGCAATCAAACTGTGAACTGAGGCAAGAGACTTGCCTCAGAATTCTTCTTCTCTTTGTACCCAGCTCGGAATTATCATGTTTGTTTTACCCCTAATACTACTTTATGGTCTTGAAATGAAATTATTACATATGGTAATATGTGTATGCCATGAACCACCGCAGGAGAGTAAAGGGATTATCCAAAATATTGTTGGATTATTGTTGAATCGCATGAGTCACATTGTGTCAGGAAAATTGTCCTTGATCCATCAGAAGGAGGATCCTTCTGAGCCAAGATGGCTCACTTGTTGACTTTCACTTTCGCTTAAGGCTAAAGCTAAAGCTTAAGGCTTTCTATTTAGCTTCAGGACGTCACTAAGGTGGGAGAAGCTCTGCGTGTGAGATGTGTACCAAAGCATCCCAAAAGTTAGGTTACTGGGCTGGGAAAGAGAGATGTAACAAGATGTGTGTGTGGAAGAGTGTGTGGCTGCTTGTTTAATGAGTTATAAAACGGGAAATATCATATGAGTTATACTAGCATGGGAGCTTTCCGCCTTGCTGACAATTTGTGTGTTAGCTAAGTTTTTTCCCTTTAGCAGGGAGCTAGGAGTGTTTGTGAGGTTCTTCGCATGTATTTCAACGTATATCAATGTCCATCAATATGTAACATTCGCATACACACATTCAGATGCTTATGTACATGTCTGGATGACCTGTTTAAGAATGAGAGATGGAGAAAACGGGTCTGTAGTTCATTCTAAAGTTATGTATTTTGGGGCTCAGTTTCATCCAAACTCTGCGGCCACCAGCTGTAAGAGTTTGGCGTCTCGTCACGGAGTACTCTCTCTAAAACAGAGTCTTCTAACATTTGAATTATGTTCCGCACCCTGGTGGCTATGTGTTGCAGTCTGATGGGTATCTTCTTGAGGTTATCTTGAGATGATTTCGGGGCTTTAGTGTCCCCGCGGCCCGGTCCTCGACCAGGCCTCCACCCCCAGGAAGCAGCCCGTGACAGCTGACTAACACCCAGGTACCTATTTTACTGCTAGGTAACAGGGGCATAGGGTGAAAGAAACTCTGCCCATTGTTTCTCGCCGGCGCCTGGGATCGAACCCAGGACCACAGGATCACAAGTCCAGCGTGCTGTCCGCTCGGCCGACCAGCTCCCAGTGGGTGTATGCGGAGCAATTAATGGAGCGCCTGGATATAGTCTGGCCACATGCTTGATAGTGTTCTGCAGCCGGTATTTACACTTTATTTTGCATTGCTTGTGGTTCCCCATGTTAGTTTTCCTTGAGGAATGTAGTGTAGTATGACTGGAGGGTATTAGAGATGTGGGTGATTTAGAACCTTCTTTATGTACAGCTGTATGTTCGAGCTAAGACTACGGAATCACCTCAGTTTTCTTAATTCTGTTTTTGCTTTACTTAGTTTGTCTTTTAATTGAATTTTGTTTCGTGTTCTATTAATATTGAATCCCAGTATTCTACCTGCATATGCATGTTGAATTTCGGAGTTGTCAAGGAAAATGGGGTCAGGGTTTATTCTTTTGCAGTTTTATTATTTGAAACCTTTGTTGGAACTTACCTTCAAATTCCTTTGAAAGATGTATATGAGGTCAATTTATGCCTCTTTTGCTGGCCATTAACGGCTTTGATTGACCTGGATGGCATAATATTGAGTATTTTCGTCAGCATATGTGATAGTGTCCACGCTGGGGAGGAGGCAAATCAGCTTTATGAATGTTGAAAAGCTTGAGTTACAGGCAGTTTCTTCTGGAACTCCATTTTTCAATTGGATTAGAGATGGGTGAGTGCCAGTGTGTGTGCAGGGAGAGGAGAGGAGAGAGGCAGTGGGAGAGGACACTCTGGACACTCCAACACACTCATGAGTGCCAGAATGTGTTGGAGTGGGTTACTGGTGAGGGAACACGCACTCCGATCGTGAGGAACGCAGAAGGCAAACCAGTATATAAAGAATCCATAACCTAAGTTACAAGACAATTCACAGAACAATACTCAGGATGTGATCTTATTGGTGATGGGAATTTCGATTGATGAGCTACATGCTGGAGTGTAGCTCATCAATCATCAAGGTGGTTGTGGTGGTTGATTTTTGATGCTGGAGTGTGGTTGTGGTGGTCGTGGTGCTGGTGTTTGATGCTGGAGTGTGGTTGTGGTAGTCGTGGTGCTGGTGTTTGATGCTGGAGTGTGGTTGTGGTGGTCGTGGTGCTGGTGTTTGATGCTGGAGTGTGGTTGTGGTGGTCGTGGTGCTGGTGTTTGATGCTGGAGTGTGGTTGTGGTGGTCGTGGTGCTGGTGTTTGATGCTGGAGTGTGGTGGTCGTGGTCGTGGTTTTTTATTCCGGAGTATGGTGGTTGTGGTGGTTGTTCTCCGTCAAGCTGCTGGAGTTTTGTGACACTAGAAGCCCTTGAGGCTACTCAGCTATACAGGTTATAAAGTGTAAAATATGAACGGGAACAAATTGTTAATAAATCTGGTAATATCTCTACTTTTGTTGTTGAGTAGTAGAGACAACAATCCCTCCTCCAAGTCACACTTGACACCTTCTAAAGAAAATTGGGGAACATGCTAATGCTGATTGCAATATTGTGTGTAATTTTGTATGGACAGCATCTACCCGCCAAACACACACCGAAACTAGGACGTTGGTACAACGTTCGAACAAGTTTTAACACTTCCTAACCAGTTATAACAACCAATATAGCAAGTTGTAACAACGTTCTAATACGTCATAAACACGTTAAGCCAAGATGTAACAACTTTATTACAAGTTGTAACAAGCGGAAAATAGAGACAGTTTCGGTTTGTGTTTTCAGGGTATATCTAATGCAATCTATGCAGTAATATGGACAGTTTGTGGCGTCAGTTTATTACGTCAGTGTATAATGATTGCTTGCAATGTGGACTCTCTTTTTTTTATGTGCATGCAAGGTTAATAATAATAAATTATGGAAAATGAAATCATAAATAACAGGTGTTAGGCTTGCCTGTTTTATGTGATATGCAATTAAGGATTTTCTAGCTACAAAATGTTTTAAAACGATTAAGTCTTGTTAAATGTACTCGTTATGATATCAGTCTAAAACTTGCTTTGAGGAAAAGAAAAACAATAATATATTATAGTTAATGTGTGTGCGCTTTTAATCATATCTTGAAATTTATATTGGTTTAAAAAGATTACATTATGAAGAGTTTAGTCTTTACGCGAGTGGTTAATTATTTAGACATATTAATGACTAAATGGAATAAACGTAACAAGGTAATTATTTTACCAATTAATTTAGGCGATTTAAGCAGACGAGAAGTCCCTTGATATGCATAATTACCGCGTGGATTGTTTTCTTATTGTTAAAATTAACCAAGCCACAAACATAATGTGAAGCAGTGGAAGAACTTGATCGTGGAACAATGTAGGAGTTAATAACATTATCACAAATTATCGACAGTTTGTTGACAAGATTTACACTGATACTTTCCTCGGCCTCTGTTCAGTGTGCTATAACAGCATTCGTGCTGAGTTCTTCCTCCTTCTATATACCTCATGTTGTAGTGATAGCAAATTAGTGCTACAGTGATGGGAGATAGTAGGAGATAGTACAGCCTGGCTATAGTGATGGGATATAGCACACCTTGGCTATTGCTATAAGAGACAGTAGACACTAACTTCAAAATTTCCCACTTATTAACCTATTTTAACATTAAAAAAATTTCCGATGTCTCTTTGACTCATTTGCGTCTACAGTTTCAATCCATCACCCCTCGTTCTGCTCTTCCTAGCTTTGAAAAATGCTTCTTTGTCTACTTTGTCAGTTCCCCTTAGGAACTTGTATGT